CCGCCGGACGGACGCGGATGTGCCGCCGCCATCGTCACCGCCGAACGGACGCGGATGTGCCGCCGCCATCAATGCCGGACGGACGCGGATGTCCCGCCGCCATCGCCACCATCGGAGGGACGCGGATGTGCCGCCGCGATCATCGCCGGACGGACGCGGATGTGCCGCCATCACCGCCGGACGGACGCGAATGTGCCGCCATCGCCACCGCCGGACGGACGTGGATGTGCCGCCGCCATCACCGCCGGACGGACGCGGATGTGCCGCCGCCATCGCCACCGCCGGACGGATGCGGATGTGCCGCCATCGCCACTGCCGAACGGACGCGGATATGCCGCCGCCATCACCGCCGGACGGACGCGGATGTGCCGCCATCGCCACCGCCGGACGGACGCGGATATGCCGCCGCCATCACCGCCAGACGGACGCGGATGTGCCGCCACCATCGCCACCGCCGGACGGACGCGGATGTGGCCGTGATTTGCGGTCCGGATTACTCTGCTGTCTGTGTCACCAGGGGCGCGCCCAGGCGCCGTACTTGGGAGGGGTGAACCCGTTCTCCCCAAATGACCAATATCCCCAAAAGCTGTACGGATTTGTGTTGTGCAAAGCGTAATACGGTGTCATTTTTGAGGGAGTTCCTCGTGGATGGCACCCTCGCTTGCATCTTCGCCAGCGGTCTCCGCCGGACAGCCCGATGCAGGTTCCGAGTTGGCGCGAGTCTCTCGCCGCTCCTGCGAGCACGTCCTCTGCTCAGACTCTGGCGTCGACGCCACATGCATTGGCGTGGTAGCTTTTCTATTCCCCGACAGGTGCATTTACCAGCATGAATAAATGCATGTTTCGTGAAGATGGCTACGTAATAGTGAAAAACTGTCGCGGGAAGTGACATTTTGCTTGCGGTGTGGTATAATGATCTTATTAAATTGTGGCGTTTCGCAAGTTCCAACTGACGCACTGCCAGGTTATTAGCATGCTCTAGTTCTAGACTATAATGTCGGACGTAATTTGACATAAAGCCAGCCGCCAGGTCCAACGCCAGGTGAAATGCCTTCGCTCGCAGCGAAGTTTAACTTGGTCGCCGGGGGGCCTTTCCAGACGGCTGGCTGACCTATGGCACCTATTGCCCTCGTTATCTGGAGGACTCTCACGATGTGATGAGCCGGCCTTGGCTGCCGCTCCCACGCTGAGCCGTGCCCGGGCGCCAGACCGAGCAGCAGCACTGGCCTGAGCCAGCACGCGAAGCTGCAGGGGGACAGAGACGGCGACGGGTACAGCCCCGCGCGGTGAAGGCGCGCAGCGACACCAACAAATGGTGGTCTGGGAGTGCCAAACATCACGGGCTGGAGGGAAGCCGAAGGGATGCGTGTTCTTCGATTGTAACAGCACGATGTCTATACATAACATCACAAGGGTATCCACTACCTTGCACCTGTGAATCCTGCGTGTACCCCCGCCTGCAACACCAGCCGTGTACTAAATTTCGACGTCGCTTGACCACAGCACTGACCAAGCTGCCGTAGTTTTCTAGGCCGTCATCACCCAGCGCTACCGGCCGATCGGTGGTTTGCGGCCTCCTGCTACGCCTCAGGTTGCCGTTAAATGGTTTTTACAATCCAATACGGTTATCTGCCCTACAGAGCCGGGCCGACTCTGTCCATCTGTGGGGTGTCTGCCCTACAGAGCCCGGCCGACTCTGTCCATCTGTGGGGTGTCTGCCCTACAGAGCCGGGCCGACTCTGTTCATCTGTGGGATGTCTGCCCGACAGAGCCGGGCCGACTCTGTCCATCTGTGGGGTGTCTGCCCTACAGAGCCGGGCCGACTCTGTCCATCTGTGGGGTGTCCTGCCCTACAGAGCCGGGCCGACTCTGTCCATCTGTTGGGTGTTTGCCCGACAGACTCTGTCCATCTGTGGGGTGTCTGCCCTACAGAGCCGGGCCGACTCTGTCCATCTGTGGGGTGTCTGCCCTACAGAGCCGGGCCGACTCTGTCCATCTGTTGGGTGTCTGCCCTACAGAGCCGGGCCGACTCTGTCCATTTGTGGGATGTGGTGAGCCTCGCATGACGCTCACACAGGCATGGTCATAATCCGAACGAAGGCCGCAATGTGGTGACCTCGTGGAATGAAGAGTCACGTATGCATAAGCGGAAGCATGGGATCACTCGCTCGAGCCTTTAGAGCCTGATTCAAGCGAGATTTCACTTCCTTTTTAGTCTGGCTGATGGGTGATTAGGAATGGAGAGTGCAAGAAGCTCTCCCTCAGTGTCGGCATTTAAATTGTCTTTACAATCGATCAGTGAATAAAAATCAAAAACATGCTAAAGATTTCTACAATGTGGTGGCGACGCCCATACAACCGAAAGTATCACGGAACACGATCGCTTCGTCCTCGCCAAGCTCGCCGCGCGGTCTCTCGCTTCATGCCTGCTTCTGCGCTCTGTTTGGTGTGACCTTGCGGGCTGGATAGGGGTCAGACTGAGGCCGCCCGCCCTTCCGGCCGGCACCGCAGATAACCGCAGCGAGCGGCCCTCGCCAGGCGTCGATCACAGCAAGCGCCTGTCTGCGAAGGATGCGCCTCCTGATAGAGCAGGCCGTGCGCTTCCTGTCCGTATCTTCTAGCGATGGCTGCGGCACGAACACCAGCGCGCCGCTGCGGACCGCGACGAGTCGACAGCCCGTTTAGACCTGCGGCAGGTGAAAGTGGGTTGTTAATGGCGATGCGTCAAACCGACGCTACTGTGGCAGTTCTTGCTCATTTAATCCGTCCAACAGACTCGACAGCAAGTGGGCGTTGTACTACACGTTGACAAAAACGAGTTCTGCTGTACTCATTACCGTCCGCATGTCCTGTTTGCCCGATGGAAGGAAACGCACCACACATGGCATGGAACTCTCTACCTGACGGACCAGGCAGCTAGGAGCCATTCCAAGCCGGCCCGCAAGACGATAAACAAATAGAAATACCCGACTTCGAGGACCAGATTTAAATGACTGCGCTGAATACAAATGAGCTAAGGCGGTGCCAAACACCAAACCAATCACCTCTGGTTATTTGTGGCCATGGCCTCAGACATCTTGCGCTTTTTTTTTACTGATTATGGTTTTGAATAATTAGCCAACTTGGGGCGACAGCTGTGATGAATGGTGGCTGTTCTCAGTCATCATTTCATTAGTTTGTCGGACGGTCTGCGTGGCTTGACACTGCTTTGATTGAGATGTGCCTGACGACCCTACCCACCGTTTCGCACGCGTAATTCCGCCCTAGTACCAAACTAATGTCAAGTTGGAGATTCTACCACCATCACCTTCCATACATATCACTCAAGTGAGTCCGGGGGTGCTTTTTTAACCACATATCGAATCTTGCTCTCGCGGGGTCACAACGCGTTGGTCTGGACATGTTGGCATCGGACAGCGCGCATGCGCCGTGACCCTGACGACCCGGAGAGCAGGAGGTTAATCAAAGAATCTCGCGCCAGCCGATCTGAGGACTGTTCGCCTGGCACTGGCATCGCCCTGCGGCTGACGGCCCGAGAGACATTCAGAGCGTGGGCGACGGAAAGGTCACTGACATCCACCTGACACATGTTACACGGTGCATACCTGGCCGGAGCTGAGCCATAAGTCTGAAACTCCCCCGCGTTCGAATGCCTGACCGCGCGCCCGACATTGGGCACTGCCTCGCTGTGCGAGCACGGCGCACCGGTCAGCCCAGCGTCGGCCGCCTTCGCGGCTCCGACTTTGCAGGTCACAAGGTCACCAGGTCACCGGCGACAAAACAGCGGCGGCCGGCGGCCTTCGGAGGCCGGCGCCGCTTCTGTAACGGTCCGACGTCGGGCAGAGACCCGCAGAGTCCCGGGATGCCGAGGCTGCTGCAGCGGTCCACCGCATGGGCGGCGTCGCGCTCGATGACAGGGTGGGGTCCGGTCACGGGCCGGTCATGCACTGGGGGTGAAAGGTCGGGGGTGATGGTCAGGGGGCAAGTAATCCACCCTGCGGGCGGCTTGTGACCCTCTTGTTCGTTGCGGTGCGATGTGCCTCCGGTAAAATTATGGTATCCCATCGTCGTTAATTAGATGCTGCTGCCTGGTGCAGCGCCTTAAGTGCTGTGGCGTATATGAGCTGGTTGTATGCAGCATTGAACGTGCATTAACCCTAGAAATTGGCCTGGCCGTTATTTGACACATGATTCACGTGAACGGCCATAATATGACGGTTATTGGTCGAAGTCGTCGGCGATGTCATTTGGTACCCAGTCTGAGTGGTGATCCGACATGTTTTAAGGCCGGTGCAAGAGCTAAATAATCGTCCAGCGCCCCCCGTCTTTTGACTCATGCATTTGATCGCCTGGCAAAAAGCCTCCGACGGAGATCAGGTAGCCCCTGCCCTTGTCCTTGTTGAGGATCGGCCTCGACCTCGTTCAGAACGGGTTACCTCTGGGCTGAGGCTTGGTGACGCAACGCCACTCAGCCAGCTTTGTTTTCACAGGCCTCGAACCCGATGGCATTCCTTGGTTCTAGCATTGCACCCATGTGAGGGCGCGTTGGGTTCACGAGACCGCGCTGCGGCTCGTGGTAATGGGCAAGCAACACATTCCAATGTAAATGCACGCTGCAGGCGGGCGGCTGCGTTGAAGCCCATTGTGTTTTCTGACGCTGTCATTAACCACCTCGTGAGTCCCCAAGTAGGCCTCAGTGATCACCATGCACCCGCAAGACGGGATTAATCAAGAGCGAACCATCAAGAGGAACACCTCTTTCGACTAACGCAGGCGGCCGCTTTTGCTTTTAAGCGGGTCATTTGGAGCGGTCATCTGACACGGATGCCAGGTGTTCCTGCTCCACGCTTTCCCCCATATTACAATGAGTTTATTGTCCGTTGTTCGTTCCAGGTGTAATCTGCAACTCAGTTTGCAACGCAGGTGTATGCTGCAGTTGTTTCATTTTGTCATGTCATCGTCAGCGAGTGAGTCTAACTGCAGCGTTCTGGCTTCGACAGGGCTCTGACCCGGGCGCGGCTACATGCCGGGGCAAGCTGCAGTATCGCCGCTCCCGTCTCAATGTCGACATCAACAAACATCTGATGCTGCGCCAGGGGGCCGAGAACCTGCTCAGGTCAGTACAGGGGAGGGTGTCGGACCTCTGATCAGGTCAGTAAAGGGATGATGTCGGGCGTCTGGTCAGGTCAGTGCGGGAGAGGGTGTCAGGCCTCTGGTCAGGTCAGTAAAGGGGACGATGTCGGACCTCTGATCAGGTCAGTACAGGGGAGGGTGTCGGACCTCTGATCAGGTCAGTACAGGGGAGGGTGTCGGACCTCTGATCAGGTCAGTGCAGGGGAGGGCGTCGGACCTCTGATCAGGTCAGTACAGGGGAGGGTGTCGGACCTCTGATCAGGTCAGTAAAGGGGATGATGTCGGGCGTCTGGTCAGGTCAGCACAGGGGACGGTGTCGGACCTCTGATCAGTCAGAAGGGGACGAGTCGGGCGTTGGTCAGGTCGTAAGGGAGGGGTGTGGATGAGTCAGGACAGGGAGGGTGTCGTTGTCAGGTGGGGAGGGTGTCGGACCTCTGATCAGGTCAGTAAAGGGGATGATGTCGGACCTCTGATCAGGTCAGTACAGGGGAGGGTGTCGGACCTCTGGTCAGGTCAGTGCAGGGGAGGGTGTCGGACCTCTGATCAGGTCAGTACAGGGGAGGGTGTCGGACCTCTGATCAGGTCAGTACAGGGGAGGGTGTCGGACCTCTGCTCAGGTCAGTACAGGGAGGGTGTCGGACCTCTGATCAGGTCAGTACAGGGGAGGGTGTCGGACCTCTGGTCAGGTCAGTACAGGGAAGGGTGTCGGACCTCTGATCAGGTCAGTAAAGGGGATGATGTCGGACCTCTGATCAGGTCAGTACAGGGGAGGGCGTCGGACCTCTGATCAGGTCAGTAAAGGGGATGATGTCGGGCGTCTGGTCAGGTCAGTACAGGGGAGGCGTCGGACCTCTGATCAGGTCAGTAAAGGGGACGATGTCGGGCGTCTGGTCAGGTCAGTAAAGGGGATGATGTCGGGCGTCTGGTCAGGTCAGTACAGGGGAGGGTGTCGGACCTCTGATCAGGTCAGTAAAGGGGATGATGTCGGGCGTCTGGTCAGGTCAGTGCAGGGGAGGGTGTCAGGCCTCTGGTCAGGTCAGTAAAGGGGATGATGTCTGGCTTCTGGTCAGGTTAGTACAGGGGAGGGTGTCAGGCCTCTGGTTGGCGGAGAGCTCCGTACAAGGCCCGCCGGCCTTGTTCGCAGGCTCGGTGTGTGACTTGTGCGTGCACATGGATATGCATCGCATGCAGAGCTTTTTAAACGTTTTCCACATTTTCTCTTTCATTGTTTGCTGATTGGTAAAAGGAAAATTAGGTAACAAGATAGGGAGTTGAAAGGCACTGAGGGAAAGGTTGTCTTGAGTTGCATGCGCAAGATATGGAGGCATTTATTACGCATCGGTTCATTTGGTCCGTTGGCTTTCGGTAAGGGTTTGCTCTTTACGCTGTCATAGTTCTGATATTAGTGCTTTGTAACGGTATTAATAGGTTCCCACCGCGCGAAATTGATACTTTCATTTACGGCGACGACTTCGTCCACAGTGCGACCGACGACAAAGCGAAAAAGTTATGAACTTTGTTGTTTTAAACAGGATTAAATGGGTAATGATATTTATTGATTTATAGACGAACTGTGACCAAACGTTTTGTGGCATATTTCATATGGGCGCAAAAATACGACCGGTGTCCTGTTTTTGCTCCCATCTACAGTCCTTTGTCATGTTTTTTGCTCATAGTTTTATGGTTATAGTTCTTCTGTCAATCATTGTAACATTGGGCCAAAGTAGGACACTTATACTGTTTCTGGCGCCGATTGATCTTGTAGCACGAGACCTGTGGCTTAACTGTTATATAGATCATGGATTCCAGCATCAGCTTACCATCAATCGAATATACCGTGACTTTATTTATGTCAACTTCAGGAATCCCTTTATTTCAGATTTCATATTCTTCTCAGCTGCAATTTGGGATTCATTTCATGTGTGATGTAATCATAATCACACTTCTACTCATTTTAAGGAAAACTTTGAATGGATTTCTTGCTACCTCACTCCTTTCACGGTGAGAAACAATAAGTTATGGTATGCCTACAGATGTTTGCGATGTGCTTGTGAGGGGTGTCTATGGACGCTTTACTGTCTCCCGGCGGCGTCAAGTATGACACTGAACTTCTTTACGTCTTAGCACCAGACTTCTTCAGAACTGTAACCATTGTTGAAGGTTTCGCTGCATCCTCTCTCGCCGGATGTTTCTGTGAAGTCTCCGGCCGCGTCTGGCCCATTGAGTCTGGGCTGAGTGCCCTTCGTTCTGGAGCACCGGCCGTTAGGGCCCGGGTGTTATGAATAATGACGGGCATTACCCAGTCAGCCGGTCCCTCCCAGAATCAATTTCCCTGCCCCGCCCATCAGCGGAGCGCCCCTAGAATCGGCCGTTGTTTACGAAGAACGGGTTTGGGGTCACGGACTGCTGACCCCGGTCGACCCGGCGTTGTAAGCGACACCGCCGCGTGTGACATGGGAGCTGGCCGCGGCACAGACGGACCCTCCCCACGACCCGCGGTCGGACACGGGCAGGGATGCTTGTCGATCGATTAATTGTGTGGTTCACGTGTGACCGTTGGGCAGATTGTTCACACGCGCCCGTGCGCTCGGGAGGAGGGCGTGTGAAAAGTCGAGAGCAGCGAGGATGAGACGGCTGGGAATGTGCCCGCGCCATCCATCCAGAGATTCAATCACCACCGGGTGTGAATACATGCAAATCCATTCAGTGACGGTAGCCTGAGTGCAGTTGCATGTATTTCGGCTTCGGCCTCCCATTCGAAACGGCTTCTCCGAGCAATGCGCTGACGCTGCTCCTCGGCTTCAGGGCGGCGGACAACAAAAAAGTCCGGCAAGCCGTGTCTCTCGAGTTGAGCTTCGTCAACTCCAACCTGCAGTATCTGAAGGAGGAGCTCTCAGACCTGAACAGCTCCGTGGAAGTGTACCAGAATGACAGGTAAGGCCTCGTTGGAGGACCTTTTGTATCTCGTCCCAGTCTGCCATTGAACCACAGTGAACGTGCATATCGAAACTGTGAAGACAAGCTCACGCTCTATCACGCTCTCCCACTATACTCAGCATGATCTCCATCCATGAGGTCGGGTTTGTGCGCAGTGTCTGGTGCTTACTGCGTCCAAGCGTGCGAGATATATGAATAACAGGCAGCTATCTCAACGCCTGCCTCGCCCTGCAAGGTCAGCCTTCTGGCAATATCCGTATCAGAAATATTGTCGTGCGTTCAATACAGGCGTGGCTTAACGGACATCAGCATTGACCTTGCTGGATGTCATGACGCGATCATGACTCGGCTATTCAGAGGTAATGGCGCATTGTACGCATGCTTCAACCGTTTTGACCGTGGGACCCACCTTAATAAACGATGTGGCACAAAGGCCATGGCTACAGGTAAGCTGCTCTGTCATGACCGATGGCTTGACAAAAATGTTTTAGAGGGACGCGTTTTGACTATTAATTGCTAACTTTGGGACGTTAGTAACATTTTATTTGCTCTCCGCAGCAAAACGCAGCACATTCCAATGATCCCGTTTGGCCTGAAGGAGACCAAGCATATCGACTTCACCGACGCATTTAAGGTGAGGAGATCATGATGTATCCCACCGTGCAAGATCGACATTCTTCGATCTCTTCCGCTCTCGCACCCGCTTTACAACTCCGCTGTACCTCGACATCTCGCGTGGCCCTCGCCGCTCTCGCTCTGCGTTCATGCCCCGCCCCGCCCCGCCCCGCCCCGCCCCGCCCCGTCTCGCCCCGGGTCAAACTGAGAGCAGCTGACCTTAGACGGCCCATGTCCTCCATCAAAAGCGGCCGCGCTTTCACCGGTGTCATTCGCCAATCAGCAGGTGTGGCTGCCGGACGTCAGCCAGCCGGTCCACACGGAGAGCGTGGTTCGCTCTAATGGTGCCGTCTTCGGCAGCCTTCGCCAGCTGGACCGGTCTGGACCGGCCGGACGACAGGTTGTGTGTGCGGGGGGGGGGGGGGGCTCTGGGGCGGGTCGCCTCTCACGGTGGCCAGGCGGCACCGAGCTGCGACCAGAAACTGAAGGGTGATGTGGGCCATCATGCTGGCACCTGGTGTTTGGACCACTGTTCCATAGATCACCACGACATGACCGTTGATCCGTTGACCAAAAGCTTTCCGATGACCACGTCATTGATGATGATGACATGACCATGACATGACCGTTGACCAAGAGCTGTCCGATGACCATATCATTGATGATGTTGACATGATCATGATGTGGCCGTTGATCAAGAGCCTTCCGATGACCATGACATTGATGATGATGACATGCCCATGACATGACCGTTGACCAAGAGCTTTCTGATGACCATGTCATTGATGATAATGACATGCCCATGGCATGACCGTTGACCAAGAACTTCCCGATGCCAACGGGCCAGCGATCACAGAGCAGGACGTGCCGAACTTACTGAGCGCCCTAATGTGTCGGCTGCGGAAAAGGAGACGTGCCATATGCACCCTATCGCGTTTGTAGAACAGCGTAACTGACTCTCCCGTTCCGTAGTGACCAGCGCGGACAGGTGCAGCAGACAGCCATTGGCTACGCAAGGTCGGAATTAGATATTTGAAGCTAAATCTCCTTTGGAGCTCAGGATCGAGCTTTGAAGGCATAAACATTGCGCTTCCACAAACGTCACTCTTGGTAACGTCCACAGATTGCATGTATCGCGTCCCAGTCGAGACACACAGCAGGGTCCGTGCAGCACTCGGCCCCTGACGGGCAGCCGGCTGCTTAACACTGCGCCGAACCTGTTATCCTTGACCCCTCGGCATGCGATTAATGTTTGCAATATTGCTACAAAGGTATTAGCTCCTGCGGTTTTTAAGTAACTGCAACGCATCTAAAACGACGTAATGCCAGTAACGATGTTTGTTTCATGCAGCCGCTCAGGACTGCTGCATCAGGTGGCCATGTCGGGCATCGCCGCATTTTGGTTCGGACCTGGCTATGTGCACCCCTTGTTTTGTTGTTGTTGTTTGTGTATCTTTCGATGCGTACAAAGGAGTTCTTCTAGCAGCTATGAAAGCCTAACTGGATCGTGTTTCCAGGATTTTATTCTGGAGCACTACAGCGAGGACGCGGACAAGTACACGGCTGCCATCCAGGAGTTCACCGACATACGTCAGGTGAGATTACGCCCCGGGGTGTGGCGTCAAGCACCTCAGGTCACCGGTGCTAGCGTCCCTAGCTCTGGGCTGCACGCGAACACAGCACGTGTTGGAAAAATGAGTAGGAAATGGCGAGATAAACGACCCAATGGCATAGTTGGGTTTGGTTGGGAGGTGTTGTTGAAGTGATGCGAGGTCATTGGACCTGGTCGCCTCGACGCTTAGCCACCCCGCCACACCATTCTGATCACCAATGCCCCGAATGTGTGACCACGTGTGGATGTGGCAAGCTGGACAGGCTTGGCACCCGGAACCTGAGCTTACTAGCACGCTATCTGTTGCGGGGGGGGGGGGGCGTTGGCAGTCGGCAAACAGCAGATTGGCATGGCGTGCAATAAAGCACGGTGCCGTTCTGCCCCGCCCTCCCCTCCCCCCGCCCCACCCCGCGGCTGTTTCGGGTCTAACTATCCGCTACCGGGATCGACAACATCTTGCTCCCGTGGATCCGCGTTACAGGCTGTTGGTCGGCGAGGGAAGGCCGGTATTTATGGCAGCGATTTGGTGCTGGTCGCTCGTTCGTGATTTTGGATCCCATAGGAGCCCGGATATGGTTCCCGGTCGCATATCTCCGGTGAGACCTTAATCACATTCTTTTATCCATCTTCCATAGTTGGCGGCCTTGTGAAGCCCTTCAAGATATTTGCGCACATGCTTGAGTCCAGGACCTCGAGTGAACACAAATGATAACGCCAGTTGTCACTGACCCAAATTCCCGTGATGTTGCTTGTGGTGTCCGGATTACACAGTCGCGCCTCTTGTCCGAGCAGCTGCACTCCTCACTCTTAAACCTAACGTTGTGTCAAGTGGGGTGGTTTTGCTCCAGTCTGACGGCATAGCTCTAAAGCTCTCGCTTTGCGTTTAAGCCTAGATTTGCAAACGCCACCGTGAGAAGGAGAAGCTCCACTTTCTTGGTCAAAGCCGTGTATAGCACGCCCGGAATTTTGCTTTTCAGAATTTTTACGATGGTTGAAATCATGCATCCCTGTCACGACTGCCATCCTTCCAAAAATGACTGCACATGACTGCTCTCCATATTTGAGCAGCTTGAATAGAGCTGCAACACACTGCAACTGACCGTCAGTATGCAGCGATGTTGTGGAGAGCAGTACTTGCGATGCACGGTAACCACAATAACGAAATATTTTCAAACGCTTTCATATGTTCTGCGGTCATTGCCCATTCAGGTTATGTTGAGCTGCTTTCATTTTCCCTTCATTGCTCTATTACGTCGACGACGTCGTGCAGCAAACGACACGCCGCCGCGGCACCCATTCTTATAATGGCATGTGACGTAATCATTATTTTCTGGATGCTCCAAGATAACCACTGCCTACCGGTTCAGAGGTTTCTGAAAGGCTCATTTGACGTTCATGATAAGTCGTTGCTCTCGGTATATCATCGGTATCATATATATATATATATATATATATATATATATATATATATATATATATATATATATATATATATGTGTGTGTGTGATATATATATATATATATATATATATATATAATATATATATATATATATATATATGTGTGTGTGTGTGTGTTTAGGCGTGTGTGTGCATGTGTGTGTGTGTTTAGGCGTGTGTGTGCATGTGTGTGTGTGTGTGTTTAGGCGTGTGTGTGCATGTGTGTGTATGTGTGCTTAGATAAAAAGATGGATAGATAGAAAGACAAATAGATATGCAGATGGTCTGTATATCATCGGTATATGCCAGAAACAGCTGGTATACACCAGAAACGGGTGGTATATACTAGAAACAGGTATCTCATATTGCCCCCGCCTCCTTCCGACCTGTCAAATGATCATGATTTCCTCGTTCCCCGTGATGCCACAGATCACACAATCTGCTCGATATCCGTCCGCAGGCCATGAGAACACCCCAGCGCAGCAAAACCGGGCTAGCCCTGCTCTTCGAGTACTACAACCAGCTATACTTCGTCGAGCGGCGGTTCTTCCCGCCCGACCGGAGCCTCGGCGTGCACTTCGAATGGTGAGTGCGTCGGCCGGCGGCAGGAGGCCGGTCCTCGTGGAGGCGGTGTCGCCAGAGGTCGCAGCACGAGCCGGGCGCGGCCGCCGCCCGCTGCTGCCGCGGCCGAGTACCGGCACACAGTGTGTGACCGCCTCAGCCGCCAACACCAGCGCCGAGGCAGGTCGGGGGCGTGCGCCTTAACTGCGCGAAACGGCCGTGCCGTGCCGTGCCGTGCCGTGCCGTGAGCTCTGGCCGGACTTTGTGTCATCCTCTTTTTCTTCGTGGGCGGACGTGCAGTCGCCGACGCTAGGGCGTGACTGTGGTGTCCTGCACGGTTTACGTGGTCCATGTCCTGCACGGTTTGCGTGGTTCGTATTGTGCTTCCCCGCCAGCCGTGCAGCCACCTGTTCGGTGGCTGAGGCGTCTGGCTGCTGACATCCGACCGCTTGTTTACGCCGTTTCCTGCACACACGCAAGCTCCGCTGTCGTGGTGGAAGTAATGCGTTCCGACATATGCGGCTCGTTTGGCTGTTGGCTGTTCTGTTATGTCTGTGACGGCGTAGTCTGCGGCTGCTCAGTACGTGGCAACGTCTTACCTTTGCGCAGCGTAGCCCGGGAGCTCGGAAGCACCCCTTGGTGCTTTCAATGGGCTCGCATTTCTTTTTCCTGAGGTTTCCAGGAGCCTCTGTCTCCAGACGTGAACATGATGTCATGTGGTGCATTGGTATTTACAGTTGCAAGGGAGTTGGACGTCCCTCCTTGTTCGCATATCTTTGCATCGCACCCCGAGCTTTTAAAAAAACATCGCCAAAGCCTTCAGTTTGCAAGCGTAAGACCCATTCCCGTTCCCAGTAATGCTCCATTTGTTTGCAGTTTGATCTGAACTATCTGGACAGCATCGCTTTGGACTTTGCAGTTAAAAGTACCAATTGTGAGACGATGTTTTCGAGATTTTAGCCATGCTATTTATACGGGACTTTGCGACTTTATCGGTGCGTGCATTACATTCCTGGGCAGCTCCTGCAAAATTGCAATCTTTTATCAGAGTCGTATCATACTTTCCTATCAGCCATATCATAGTCGTCACTGAGACTTCGCCAACGCCACACGTCAAGACTTCGCGCGAGGCGCTCGAACCGACAAGTGATCTGGAGGTCTGATCTGAGTGATCTGGAGAGATGTCACTCTCAACATCTCATTCCGCCAGATGTGCCGCAGAACCGGTGCCCAGGAGCCACAAGCTCCGTGATTGTTACGAGACATCTCGATGAGACCATCTGCCAATCTTCTACATCTTCCTCGCGGCCGTGCTCCGTG